GTTGGGCCCGAATTTGAGTGTGCATTTATAGTGGGTTTCACTGTTGTTTGGTGTTGTATATGGGATGTTAAAATTAGGTCAAAGTTGAGAATTAATAGAACAAGATAGAATACTTTGAAAACAAATGGTATAGTACAAGGTCAAAAGAATCATAAACAATACTTTTATTTATATACCTAGTTTCGATTTTTTTTTCTTTCAAAGGACAAATGATTAAAGTATGAATGCAAAATTATGAGATTTAAATTCTATATTACATATTTAATATTCTCTAATTGTTAATTTAATGAAACTTTTTGCTAAAAAATATATCTTTATTAAATAGAAGGTTAGAATGTTACTATAATAAACATCTATTAAATGATTTTACAAACTATTGTATCACATTGATTAGATCTTTTATGTCTCCAGTTAAAATTTCTGAATAAAAGTTACAGCAGCTTTTTTAAAGTTTTAAAATGCAGATGAATTTGAAATTTTTTTAGTTCGTAATATACAATATCTCTGTGCATTTTATAGTCTATTAATATTCGTGTTAATTATAATTTAATATTATACTATTTAGAAACATTAACAACAAATTATTGCATATTGTATTAACATTTTTTTTACTGTATATTTTAAATATTTTTAAGATACACGAAATAGCAAAGATACTTAAAATTTCAATTTTATAATTGACCAATCACAAGAAAGGGATCGGTATATTCCTTTTTGCTCAGGACGTCGATCCCTAGGTCCAGATTTGCAGGACATAAGGGTACCCTGTTACATTACGTAAAATTGTGACTTATTATTGGCTGATCGTGTCGGAAGATCATGTGACTGCACCCTCGATTGTCGGTAACACTGCGACTTTTATTTACTTATTTGTGCGAGTGATACAAACACAAAAAAGAAAATTCAACGTAAAAATAAACTAAGATCGTGAAAATAAAAATTTAGGGTTAGAACTCTAAAGTTAGATGCTATAGAATTAAACGTTTGTCTCCTATACGTAAAATCTTATTTAATTAGTGACCAAAGACAGGTTTAAACACTCAGTTTCTTGTATTTTCGCTTTTTTCGTTTCTTTTTCGTGTTTTACTTCGCTTCGCTCACGTGTCGGGCAGATCTGGGATAATCTCATTTTACGTTCTCCGATTGGCTTTTGAATTTGTATCACTCGCACAAATACTGAAATAAGTGCACGCGGTTTCATATATCAATTTTTTTGGCATTAAACGAAACTGATGTACACAAATCATTTCCGTAAGTCCAGAGTATAAAATATTGGTTTCCAATCACGCGATATTTGGTTACACAAATATGCAATGGCGAAGCAAAGTTACGTTTTTTTGATATTCAGATCAATATCGATATTGCTTCAAAAAACGAATTTTGGTATCACTTTGCATAGAAATTAAGAGTCCTTCGCTACGCTCCGGACAATTATCCTATTATATTTACGATTTTGCACACACCCATTACAAATGGTTATGGTACGATTTCCCAAAGCTATTTACCCGCCACTTCATTTCTCTAACACAGTATGGCTATTTCATCTACAGCACATTTTTTTGATAAGACATATATTTGACATTACATTGGGGTGTTAAATACCAAATGATCTACTATCATAGTGCAACAGATATAATCAGATCTAATTGTTAGGATTTTTTACTGGAAAATCAGGCATATTTGGATACATTCTTGGGTATAAATTTATTAAAAAAATTTTTTGAATGCATTTATATTATCATAAACAAATTTTTATACTTCTATTTTTTTTTTAATAAACTTTTTAAAATAGCTTGAGCAGCCGCTTCACCAAGCTCTTCTTCGGTATTTTCAGCTATGTCACTCTGTTGCTTTTTCTAGATTGCCTTTAAATCTTCACGATCAAAATTTACATCCGGTTTACTTGGACTTGAGAGTAGAAGCCTTGCTTCTTGCACTTTGTCAGTTATATTTGGGTGCGTTTTAATATCATATTTATTAAACATTCCTTCTAGTTGCTGCTGATAAACTATAATTGACCATATTCTATATTTTACAAAATCATATAGAAGAGGAAAATTAGAGAGCTCATGTGGATGAGACATTGAAAAGCTAAGAAATTGGTTTAAAAAATTAGAATCATTTAGTGCATTTAATAAACCAAATGACAAGATATTTCCTTCCAACTTATCTTTTTCTATTCTTTTTCAGTTGGTTTAACATTTGATGGGTGGTTTAAAAAAACATGGCAAACACTTCATGCAAAGTCAGGTCCATTAGCTCCACCTAACAAACATATTGTTAAGGGTAAATAAGTCCAGCAGCCCATCCATTTTAAAAATCCATCCCAGGCTTTTTCTAAACCAATTTTTATATTGTGAATTAAAATACTAAATTCCTGATCACATAGTTTTGATTGGGCTTCAACAAATTCTTTATCAAAAATAATATAGGGGTTAGCAATTGTATACTGTAATTCTTCAAGCCACAACAAAACTTGATCAGGAAGTTCGTGCGCACGGTACCTGGGAGGAAGGCATTTGAATGAATTATTCTCTAATACACGAGGTATGAAATCAAACCCAGTTAGAAATTCAAAGAACTTTAAATAAAAAAAATTCCAAATTGTAGCATATATTTTATTTGGAGATTAAGTTTCGTATTGTTTATCCATTCAACGAAGACCTTCCATTGCTTAATATATCCCTCAGACATATTTTTAAATTAGTTAAGCTGATTCACAAACCAAGTTTCAAAGAGGTGATGTGCATTAAAATTTTTGAGATACTGATTTGCAGTTATTAATTGGTATCGCTATCGGCTTGAGATAGGTCTTTGATATTTTGGTAAAGTATATTTTAGGAGTGTCCAATATAATTTTTGTATTATATTTGATTTCATATTTAATGGACACTCTTTATTACTTTCACCGTATCCATCATGTAAATAGTAGACAAGCTGAAGAAGGTTATGAGGATGTTCTTGCAAAGATAATCCTGATACTGTATTTAACTTTCTGAATGCAGTATTTTTAAAAGCTACTAAAGCTATCTGTAGTGCATGTAGACCACACGGAACCCTATACGAAGATGCATTATTTTGTAAATTAAATTCTACAACAGCACCTGATTTATGCCCTGACATGTATGCCATGTTATTGGTAAACCAATATCCACACTGTTTTGGATCCAAATTATTTTTTTCACATACTAATTTTATCATTTTTGCTATTATATCTTCACTGCATTTATTTATATCAACCATTTTGGCAAGGGTAAGAATAAGTTGATTTTTATGTTCGTTCCAATATGAAAAACAAACTAAAAACACTTTTTTATCTCCCCTTGTACTTTCATTAGCCATTATACCATATGAATAAGAAGGTGAATTTGGTTTATCTGGCCGATTTTGTTGAAGCGATAAGTTAGCAACTTCCTTATTCCAACGAGAAAGTGTTCCTATTGAGAGCCAATGATCTGGTTTCTCCCCAGTAAAGAAAGTTGCCATCACTTTAGTGCATTCGACTGCAGCAGAAAGAGAAACTGTTCTAATGTTGCTTATATTAGTAGCAAGATTAACAAATTCAGCTGTATACTCACGCTTATTCTGTTTTATTAAATTTTTTGCTGCTTTTTGAAATTGACTTTTTGTAATTTTTTTTGATTTTTGAGAAATAGATTGAATCCTTGAAATATACTATATTTCGCTTCCTCTGCTCGTACAAGCTTCATACGGAAAGACCTAAGCTCGTGATTTGATTTTTCTAAAGACTTTGCTAACTTGTTGTTTTCGGGTTCTAATTTTTTTACTTTATCTTGAAAATCTTTAGCTGATAAATGTTGCTTAAAAAGACCACTAGCTATGAATTCATTTGCTTTATTCTATAGGTATGGTGACAATATTTCACCTTTTGTTTTACCTTTAGAATATACCATCGTACTAATTAAATGTTCTATTCTTAAGATTTGATTATCTGGTAAGCTTTTTATATGATTAATTAATATATTGAGTTTTTTTTCAACAACACTTTGTCGTTTTGGGTTGATCAAATTGACATGGTTTTGTAGTTTTATTAACTCTTCCTGGTCAAAGGAATCAATGATTTCATAAACGTTGATGTTTTGTGATTATGATTTAAGCGAATTAATATGGTTTTGAATATTTTTTAATTCTTCCTGGCCCAAGGAATCAATAATTTTTAGCAAATTAATATGGTTTTGAATATTTTTTAATTCTTCCTGGCCCAAGAAATCAATAATTTCGTAGATGCTAATGTTTTGTGATTGTGGGTTTAGCGAATTAATATGATTTTGAATATTTTTTAATTCTTCCTGGTCTAAGGAATTA